ATATGTATGAGATTTATATGCAAATCTGAACCGACAGACTCAATTTAATGAGCTATGCACAATTAGCAATAAATCGAGAGAAATGTAGGGGCCTTAGTTCGCCATTTAGATAAAATCGGAACAAATGTATATTGGATTTCAACGAAACTTAACATATGCCATTCTAGACTCAATTGGGAGTTTATCTTGGGAGGTTAGTGCATCATTTATATAAAATCTGTAAAAATATACAGTATCAGCCAAAACCTAAGTACATTTTTATAATTATTATTTAAAAAAAAAAAACAATGTTATTCAATTGGTTTTCATTTTCTTCTTATTAGTTATGTTGTATTTATTGAAAAATACAAACATAAAAAAATCCGAATTAAAAACTGTTTTTTTTAATTATTATTTTTTAAATTAAAATTCGGAAATCCAAGCGGACAAAACTATAGTACCCCTATTGAGACAATAATCGTGGCCGAACCTCCATATGTTTTAGGTGCGTTCCCATCAACACATCGCCCTCTAAAAAACTAGAACAGTTGTAAATTTCCACCCTTTGCTATGCAAATAAACAATTAATAAACTTTATAACTATTTGACAATCATGTGTACATCACAAACAAACCGCGAAACCCAGGTGCCAGAATACAAATACATTTTGCGTTTTTATGATACGACCTTACATTATCTGTAGTACGCTTCATAAAACGTACATTCTATGTGAAATTTGTAACTATATAAGAAGTATATAGCTAACAATATGCTATCACAAGTGCTTCAACCACCACAGAGATATGAATCCGTTAATAGTTACATTGTGCCTCACGGCTGTAATTGGTGTTACCAGAGCCACAGATTATTGTAATACAACGCTGTGTAATAAAGGAGTAAAACATATAGCATGTGGTAGTACAGTAAGTTATTAACAATATCCTTTTAGACGTATTCTAAATAATTGTGTCCTTTAGGACTTTGGCCCAGAATGTCCACGAAATGCAGCTGAGGTGCCACTGGATGATGCTTTTAAGGCCAAAATTGTTCGGGCTCACAATGAAAAACGTAATTTAGTTGCCGGTGGTGGTGTTAATGGTTTGGAACCAGCCTGCCGCATGGCCACCATGGAATGGGATGATGAATTAGCCCGCCTGGCCGGTTACAATGCCCGTCGTTGTCAAATGTTTCACGACCAATGTCGCAATACTGAAACCTTTAAGTATGCCGGACAAAATTTGGCATGGACCACATATCAAGGTAGACCAAGTCCTGAAGGTCTTTTCGAAGATACCTTCGATATGTGGTACGATGAAGTGAAAAATGTTAAGATGAGTCACATCAATTTGTTCCCAGTGGGCTACAAGGGACCGTAAGTGAAATCCTGTTTATGCTGTATTTCAAAAAACAATTAATGAAATGTTTTTCAGGAAAATTGGTCATGTCACAGTCATGTTGGCCGATCGTAATATTCGTGTAGGTTGTGCTGCAGTCACATACGAATCTCCCTATTCTCCTACCGAAACATTTTCGATAACCTGTAATTATGCCACAACTAATATGGTTGGATTCCCCATTTACAAGAGCTGCAGTTCAGCTGGTTCGTCATGTACGACTGGAACAAATCCCCAATATCCCAATTTGTGTTCCACTTCGGAAAAATATGATGTCAACAAGTGGTATTAATTTTTGAACTCATTGACTATGATCTGGCACAGTTTTATTATGATTTTATGGAAATAAAAAAAAATAAATCATTAGAAAATAATTTTTGTTTTTAGTAAAAATTGAACAGCAATGGTTCGAAATGAGTCGAATCCTACTCGAACATGAATTACTAAACGTTTACAGTTTTACAACAAACTTATTAAAACCCTATTACCAAAATCGGTAAGTGATCGTCAACTCCCGTTTTCGCGGAAAATGATGAAGATATACAAATATTTGAGCTTTGCAATATTTTCATATATATTTTTCAGGAGGTACACCCACCTAAAAATTAATTTATAAATATTTAAAACGACCAATAAGGATAGTACAAAAGTCGGACGGGTTGACTATATGATACCATACACACGTTATTTTATTCTCAATACTGTGCAAAATTTCCATTTAAATGTTAGCAGTTTGGTGTACCATTTACAGAAAATCGAACGAATATGTATGGAGCTAGAGTCGAAATCTTTTAACGACACCACTTTTAACTCTGTACAATCTGAAGAGCATTCAAAATTCGTTAAATAGGTGGGGACCTTCTTATTAGCACTATGTTATTGCATTATGTGGTATTAGGTAGTTCTTGCTCTGAAAAAATGATGTTCCAAATTACAGACACTCAGCATAGAAAACTGATGTAGGGACAACAATTTACCGTGAATCAAACAAGACATTTGTATGGGGACAATTTTTTAAACACATATAGTGAATAATTTCTGAAAGAAAAACTTCTTATTCACAAGGAATCCGATATGCCATATTATAGCCAATTCAATTAGAAAATTCGGTTACCAATTTATTAGTACCGAAAATGGAATGGGGTCTTGATATTGAGACAATATAAAACCAGAAAGGAAAGTAGTAAAGTCGGACTGGGCCGACTATACTCCGACTGATACCCTTCACCACTTTGGGTATATTCTACATATGTGTCCTCACAGACGTCGCGTTTTTGTTATATATCTGTATCTGAACCGATTTCAGAGAAACTTGCCAGAGACAAATTTATGTTACTTCAGTACGTTGTGTCAATCGGCCTAGCTATGCATCTTTTCACGAATCTTAGCAACATCATTCTAGACTTAATTCAGTACCCTATACAAAAATTCGTGCAAAACGGAAGATATATAGGGACTTTGGCGCACCAATTACATACAATCAGATGGAAATATATATATGAGAGCTATATCTAAATCGGAATCGATTTTCACGAACCTCAACACACATCATTCTAGACTTAATTCAGTACGCTATGGCAAATTTCGTGCAAATGGAATGATTTTCAGATACTTTAGTGCACCAATTACCTAAAATCGGATGAATATACATATGGGAGCTATATTTAATTCTGAACCGATTTTCACGCAACTTTGCACACATCATTCTAGACTTAATTCAGTACGCTATGCCAAAATTCGTGCACCTCAAAAAATTTCCAGGGACTTTAGTGGTCTATTTACCTAAAATCGGGCGAAACTATATATGGGAGCTATATCTAAATCTGAACCGATTTTCACGAAACCTTACAAACATCATTCTAGACTTAATTCAGTACGCAATGTCAAATTTCGTGCAAATCGAAAGATATATAGGGGCTTTGATACAATATTTACCTTAAATCGGACGAAGATATATATGGGAGCTATATCTAAATCTGAACCAATTTTCACGAAACTTTGCACACAGCATTCTGGACTTAATTGCCAAAATTCCTGCAAATAGGGATTTTGGTACACCATTTACCTTAAATCGGACGATGATGTATATGGGAGCTATATCTAAATCTGAACCGATTTTCACGAAACTTTGCACACATCATTCTAGACCTTATTCATTACGCTGTTCCAAATTTCGTGCAAATCGAAAGATACGTAGGGACTTTGGTACACCATTTACTTTAAATCGGACGAAAATATATATGGGAGCTATATCTAAATCTGAGCCGATTTTCAGGAAACATAGCACACATCATTCTAGACCTGATTAAGTACGCTATGCCAAATTTCATGCAAATCGAAAGATATATAGGGACATTGGTACACCATTTACATTAAATCGGACGAAAACATATATATGGGAGCTATATCTAAATCTAAACCGATTTTTCCAATTTCAACAGGGTTCGTCCTGGGCCAAATAGATGAGCTGTGCAAAATTTCATCCAAATCGGATTATAAATGCGACCTGTACTTTGTTTACAATTTAACATGGAAGACGGACGGACACGCATAAATCGACTTAGAAAGTGATTTTATGCATATTCTCAAATGGAACCATATGTCTATCTCTCTTTTTGCCTGTTACAAACATATGCACAAAGACATAATACCCTGCAACAGAGAGGTAATTCCTTAGGTGAATACCGAATATAAAACTCATACACATCGATTGTATAGCCATTAAGAACCATAGGGGATTTTCTAGAAAACGAATTTCATATGTCTACTAGCCAGCTGTTTAGTCTGTCTATTTGGTCTAACTATACTAAAATCTAGACAAATATAAAGTTTTTTAACAAATATTTAATAAAACATTCTAAAAATCCAAATATTACACCAAATGTTTGTTTACATAATATACAAAAAGTTCACAAAATATTATAAAACACCTGTAATTGTAGCAAACCAATATTTGACAGCTGTTCAAATGACCTTGATCTTCAAATAAATATATCTACATGAAAAAAAAACATCTGTCAAATGTTAACTATTTAAGACGAACATTTGTAAGATCTCGATATCAGTTAAACACCCAAAATTAGTTTAACAAACAATGAATAAATTTATTAATGCAATTTTGAGTTTGGGCATAATACTGACCCATGCCACCGATTATTGTTCAACAAAACTTTGTAACAAAGGTGTTAAACACATCGCCTGTGGTCCTAAGGTAAACTATCCAAATAATAAGGTACTATCAATTACAATGCTAATTCAATTCATTCAAGGAATTTGATTCGACATGTCCATCCAATGCTGCCAATTGGCGATACCCATCGATGATAAACTAAAATCTGAAATTGTCCGCTTACACAATGAAAAACGTAATTTTGTTGCCGGTGGTGGTGTTGGTCATTTATAGGCTGCATGTCGTATGGCATCCATGGAATGGGATAAAGAATTTGCTGAAATTGCCTCCTATAATGTGTTACAATGTAAAATGGCCCATGACAAATGTCGCAATACCGAAACATTTATATATTCTGGCCAGAATTTGGCATGGAGTTCATATTATGGAAAACCAAATGCCACAAAACTCTTCCGAATCGCATTTGCCAATGGTATAATGAATATAAGGATGTCAAAATGGACTATATTGATTCGCTTCCTTCTTCCTACAGTAGACCGTAAGTTAAAAATGCGACATAAATTTATTCAATGGAGAATAATTTTGTTATTGAAATGTCTATATATTTCAGAAAAATTGACCACTTTACCGTAATGGTGGCTGATCGTAATATCCGTGTGGGATGTGCTGCAGCCACATATGATGACACAAGGGTTTCATCGAAAAGACAAATCTTCCTGGTGGCCTGTAATTATGCTACCACAAATATGCAGAATCTCCCCGTTTATGCCAAATGTGAAATTCCAGCAAAATCTTGTAAAAGTGGAAACAATTCACAATATCCAAATTTGTGTTCTCGCTCGGAAAAATATGACGTTAATAAGTGGTACTAATATATATATATATATATTAAATTTTTTTGTTATTGTTATTTGTTTTTTTTTATATGTATTTTTTTTAATTTTTCCTGCAAATAAAAACTTTGTGCACCGATAAAATAAATATAAATATTTGTATTTTATTTTAAAATGTATCTCACAACATAAAAAATATATTCACTTTTTGAGCGGGACAGTATACTCAAACCTGGACGGGCCGAACATATGGATCATAAATCATTTGAGGTGGACGGTATAAAAAGTTGAAATTCATTAAGGACCAAACTTAGAATATAACGGAACTTTATAATAAACGGCATACACTACTACCACACAAACGGTCCAAATTGACCAAAACGACATATATTTTGAATTTAATTTTTATATGTTTAACAAGTTAATGAGGATGGCATTCCAAATATGTAAAATTAATGGAGGCTCCTAGGAAAAAACTCATGTTATGATAGGACCTTGAATGTACCGAAAAATCGTCAGACAAAGATGATTACCGCTTGTTCTGTTTATATGGAACATAGGGGTTAATACAGTCGAATTGGTCTGTATAGAGCCCTTTATTAAGATTAATTGTTCTATATAAAGACAGACTGGGAGTGTATATATACCACAGGTATGCTGATAGACCACATGTCAAATCGAGAACTTATGCTTTTATATTCGATTCTTCATTATAGTTATTGCATTTTGAATTAAGTTTAAACTTTATCAATTTAGACACTCTGTTACAGCTTGAACTTCCACCTGTAGGACCGTAGTTTAATCTGGCAGGCGAAGTGAAACTTGTGTTCCGCTATCCCAATTTTTTATAGTTTCACATGATGTGACTAGGTTTGTTTCAGGTATTCGGCATGAAACAGAACTTCCGATTGAGGATCCGATTATAGCATGTATTATATTTTACCATCCATTGTGTCCGGTATCGATCCAAGTGTTTTTTATACCCTTCACCACACTGTGGTACAGGGTATTATGTCTTTGTGAATATGTTTGTAACAGGCAAAAGGAAGCGAGATAGACACATGGTTCCTTTTGAGAATATGCATAGAATCACTTTCGAAGTCGATTTATGCATGTCCGTCCGTCTGTCTGTCCATGTTAAATTGTGAACAAAGTACAGGTCGCATTTATTATTCGAACTGGATGAAATTTGGCACAGCTCATCCATTTGCCCCAAGGACGAACCCTATTGAAATTGGGAAAATTCGGTTCAGATTTAGATATAGCTCCCATATATATTTTCGTCCGATTTAATGTAAATGGCGTACCAAAGTCCCTATGTATCGCTCGATTTGCACGAAATTTGGCATAGCGTAATGAATTATGTCTAGAATGATGTGGGTTATGTTTCCTGAAAATCGGTCCAGATTTAGATAAAGCTCCCAATTATATTTTCGTCCGATTTAAGGTAAATCGTGTACCAATGTCACTACATATATTTCGATTTGCACGAAATTTGGCATAGCGTAATGAATTTATCGAATCTAGAATGATGTGTGTTAAGTTACCTGAAAATGGTCCAGATTTAGATATAGCCCCCATATATATTTTCGTCCGATTTTATGTAAATGGTGTACCAAAGTCCCTATATATCTTTCAATTTGCACGAAATTTGGCATAGCGTAATGAAATAGCTCTAGAATGATGTGTGTTAAGTTTACTGAAAATCGGTCCAGATTTAGATATAGCCCCCATATATATTTTCGTCCGATTTTATGTAAATGGTGTACCAAAGTCCCTATATATCTTTCGATTTGCAAGAAATTTGGCACAGTGTGCTAAATTAGGTTTAGAATGATGTATGTTAAGTTTTCTGAAAATTGGTCTAGATTTAGATATAGCTCCCATATATATTTTCGTCCGATTTTATATGAATGGTGTCCCTATATATCTTTCGATTTGCACAAAATTTGGCATAGCGTAATGAATTAGCTCTAGAATGATGTGTGTTAAGTTTCCTGAAAATCGGTGCAGATTTATATATAGCTGTCATATATATTTTCGACCGATTTTATGTAAATGGTATATATATATATATATATATATAAAATAGAAAAAAATTTGTTTGTTTGTTTGTGTGTATGTTCCCGATAGACGCAAAAACCGCTGAACAGATCTTAATGAGATTTACACTGTATGTCGGGACATGCCCTGAAAGTAATATAGGCTATATAAACTTTTAAAATTCCGCGTGGATGCGGAGTTATAGCATCAATAGTAACCATACCTCAAAATTTCTGAACATATAATATGCGTTTATCTTAAGAACGGTTACAGATACCGTTTTCAAATTTTGCCTGAATAACGAAGGTGTGAATACACACCATCCATACAAAAATGAGTATGATACGATCAACGGAAAGTGCAATTTTTACTGCATTTTAAAAATCAGCATATTGAAAATTGAAAATATTTTGTTTGTAGACTCTAAAAATGCTGAAAAGATCTGACTGTGATTTTCACAGAACGTCAAAAAATGCTCTGGGAATAATATATGCTATATAAACTTCTAAGATTTCTCGATGGTGCGTTGTTATAGCGTCAGACGTAATCATAACTGAAAAATTATGAACATGTAATTTGTGTATATCATAAGTACGGTTACAGATACTGACTTCAAACTATTGCTGAGTAACGTGGGTGTAAATACGCATCATCCACACGACAGACCGCGGACAAGGGAAAATGCACAACTCATTGCATTTAAATTTATACGTAGAAAATAGAAAAATATTGTTTGTGGACTCAAAAACCACTAAGCAGATTTTATTAAAATGTTCATAGTAAGTCCATGGAAGTAACATAGGTTGGAAAAACTGATTGACAAAAAATGGTTGACATCAAGGTGTATTTAATAAGGTGTAAGTGACAATCATATGGTTTCAAACTTTTTTCTTTATTGTTTGTAAAGTAAATTGTCAAAAACATTTTCAATATTACATTTCGATTTCAAAAATGGTCTTTAAATTTAGGTTTTTTTTAATAAAATTCAAGAAAACTACATTCATAGAGGGGGGCGGAAAGGAAACTTGGGCTCAGTTGTAACCCCGTTCGCCGATTGGTCCACAAATTTTATGTTAAGTGTGGAAATCTGTCCAGAAATTCCAGCTAAAATCGAGGAGATTATATAAGCCTATATTGGAATCGGCCCCAATGGAAAGATTTTATACGGTCAACACAATTTCCATTATGAGATCTTTGGCCGGGGATTTATGTCCTTCAATTTTCTTTAAGAAGGCAAGATTTGAAGCCACTCCATAGAAAAAAATAGATTGTAATCCACAATATAAACAACATCACAAGGAGCCATGGGCTAACTGTGGGAAACGTAAAATTAATCGCGACCATGTCTTAAACATTATTTTTCACTGACCTAAAACCACCAATAACCCAAGAATACACAAATTCATCAATTATTCCTGAAAGAATAGTTCTTGACAAAAATAAATTAATAATTGTTTTTGTTTATTTTTTGTCAAACTTATTGTCAGCATGACAATTTAATTTCTATAACAACAATGTTGTTTTTGTAAAATATTTGTTGTTGTATCTGATGCATACACCTTATTAAATACACCTTGGTTGACATTATAATTTTCCAGTTTGTCAGTCTGTGAAAAAAAAAATTATTTTGAACAAAATCAAACAAAGTGTTTTATGGAATAAAAATATTTGGATTTCAAAGAATAAAAAAATAACAAACTTTTTAATTATAAATCGTTTCATCACCTGGAAAAAGTCAGAAACTGGGATAGGGTAACTTCACATACCCCACTATTATTTCAAACCAGTAAGGAATATTCAAAAATCGGACGGGCCCGACAATATGATACCCTTCACAACTTTGGGTACATACAAGAGATGTAAATATATACAATATTTGGTAAATAGAACAGACTTAGCATCTTTGAAGATCTTCATAGATATTTGAACAAATGAAAAAACCATACACATACCATCAATGAAAAATTGCATGTCAAACGGGCAGACTTGGATTCTTTGGTGCCATTTGTACGAAATCGAGTAAAATTATGTATGGCAGCTATATATAAGCACATGGATCTAATTGAGCAACCGTTGCATAGAACATTTGTTTAAATCGTGTAAATCAAACAGACATAGGTCTTTCGGCATTTACATAAAATGGAACGAACAGATTTCAACAAACCTTATCACACATCATTTTTCCTCAATAGCATTCGCTATGCAAAATTTTGCTCAATCGGACAAATATTGGGAGTTTGGTGTATCATTCACAACAAATCGGACGAAACCATATATAGGAGCTATATCTAAATCTGAACCGATTCCAACAAAACTTCGCATACATAAGTATGGACCTGATTCAATCGGACAAATATTGGGAGTTATTTACCTTAAATCGGACGAAAATATATGGGAGCTATATCTAGCTCACCACTCATCACTTTAGACTTAATTCAGTACGCTATGCCAAATTTCGTGCAAATCGAAGTATATATAGGGACTTTGGTGCATTATTTACCTAAAATCGGATGTATATATAGAAGCTATATCTAAATCTGAACCGATTTTCATGAAAAGAATGGCAGTTTGGTGCATCATTTACATAAAATCGGACGAAACTATATATGGGAGCTATATCTAAAGCTGAACCGATTTTCTCCAATTTCAATAGGGTTCGTCCTTGGGCCAAATAAGTGAACTGTGCCAAATTTCATCCAAATCGGATCATAAATGCGACCTGTACTTTGTTAACAAAAATAGATGGATGGACGGAGGGACAGACGGACATGCGTAAATCGACTCAGAAAGTGATTCTATGCATATTCTCAAAATGAACTATGGGCCTATGTCAAAGACATAAAACCCTATACCACAGTGTGGTGAAGGGTATAAAAATCGAGTTTTTAAGGCTGCATATTTATTCCTTTATACTGTAGTACTAAGAGCTAAACACTTTCCTTAAGGCTTCTAAACAATTTGTGGAGGAGGTAACAGATGGAGGTGATAATATATATTTTTTTAATGGTTGTTACTTTGTGAAAAATTCTGTTTTAAGAAAACAAAAATTACCACCATTACAGAAAACAGTGAATTATTTAATAACTACTATACAACTACTACATTAATGCGAGTATATAATAATACAAGGGTTTACCTAATTTTAAATTAAGGTTAGTAAATATTGCAGCTGCTTACTAATTGACCATATCTAAATTTGAATTTGATAACTTCAGCAGGGGCAGCGAAGCCCCACGGGTCCCGCTACTACCATATATAGCATATATATCTATGCTTATAATTGATTTTAATAATTTTGTCCCTGGTCCTCCAAAAATTCAACGTCTTTTAGGTTTCATCTGGTGGATATATCGAAGGTGGTGAAGGGTATCATATAGTCGGCCCCGTCCGACTTTACTACTTTCCATACTGGTTTAATAGTAATTATATGCTCCACATATTCTCTGGACTTTCAGTAGTTATTTTACATTACATTTTGTTGTTGTCATACTGTCCTATTTTTGTCCTTCTGGTGAAAAAAGCATATCCTCGTATTTACTGTATTCACGTTAAGGCCCCCTAATAAAAACGCATCGTTTCAGCTTTTCTGCATAGCAAATTTGGATACTTCCCCCACTTTTGAAGTACTATAACATAGTATGCAGGCTGTTTCAAATTCCACCTCCTCCCACAGGTGTGGTGACAGAACCAGACCTGTGGACGTGGAGACATCAAACAAAATCCGTCATTTATATTCAGAATATTCGAATTTCATGTTGAACCTTTCAAAGCTAGTTTTAATTTAAATATTATATTACATGTAGTACAATGCGAATTCCATTATTATGTAATTTTGAAAGAAGAAAAACTCATATTTTAAATTTATCGGGACTAAAAGGTTTTATTTTTTCCAGAGGTCGTATCATATTTCAAAAAACAACAATAAAATAACAAAAACTTCAATATTTCAATTTAATACCACTTATTGACATCATACTTTTCAGAAGCTGAACACAAATTGGGGAATTGAGGATTTGTTCCGGTTTTGCAATTTGTTGCTGGTGAACTGCATTTGTCATAGATGGGGAACTCAAGCATATTTGTGGTGGCATAATTACAGGCAATCAAAAAGATTTGACGACCACCATCAACTCTTGTATCCAAATAACTGGCAGCAGCACAGCCCACACGGATATTACGATCGGCTACCATAACAGTCAAATGGCCAATTTGACTGAAGAATAAAGATATTCAAATAAATTAACATAAATGTTACATAAAAATATACAATTCCTACTTACGGTCCCTTATATCCACGAGGATACGAATCAATGAAATCCATTTTAACATCCTTAACTTCATTCCACCACAAAGCGAATGAGTTACGGAAAAGTTTTGTGGCATTTGTTGCTCCCCAGTATGATCTCCATGCCAAGTTTTGACCAGCATACATAAAGGTCTTGGTATTGCGGCACTTGTCATGGGCCATTTTACACTGCAGAACATTGTACGAAGCAATTTCAGCCAATTCATCATCCCATTCCATGGTGGCCATACGGCATGCAGGTTTTAGATGGTCCACACCGCCACCAGCAACCAAATTACGTTTCTCATTGTGGGCACGAACAATTTCTGCTTTCAATTTATCATCGATTGCGACAAAGGCGGCATTGGAAGGACATTTTGAATCAAATTCCTTAAAAATTAAAATTATTAAATTGAAATTTTGTAAATGTAGTCTCTATATGTTACCTTTTCACCACAAGCAATATGTGTCGTTTTATTGAAACATAAATTTGCTGTACAGTAATCGGTGGTGGCCTGGGCAAATGCCATGAGCATACCGAAACTTAAGATGGCGATAAAGGTCTTCATACTTGCTTGAGGTGTTACTATTCAACACGATTTTAGGTGTTTAACTGATAGTGATTAGCCTAATGGACTCTTCTTATATATGTTTACAGACACGCTTACAGGTGCTCCCCAGATATGTTTTGATATCAAGGTCATTTCAATAAATGTTGATAAGGGTATGTAAATATTACAATTAAAGACATTATGTTGTTACATCGTTTATTTTTTTGTATTTGGGTTTATTACGTTTAATAAACATTACAACACATTTCCATTCTAATTCTAAATTTTTGTTTATGTTTAGTTGTGGAAAATTTTCTGACCTACTAATGTAATAATATAATATACTGAACAATGATTTAGGAATGGTGTTCTGCATATGTACACGGAAATACAAAATAGAAAAAATTAATTTGATTGGATTGGATTGGATTTTAGACGTGATTCTTTTGGGTACATCCAAGATTGGCCTTCATATCATGACAAAGAAGTTGGCTTAAAATCAAGACCTTTATATGGAAACTATGTCCATACATGGACATAAATCAAAAACATTTATTTCACCCTCAAAGAATCCGTAATGCGACAATAGTCGAAAATTGTGGATAACACATTAAAAATATACAAAATGCGACGAAAGCTAAAAAAATTGGACGGGACCTATACTAAAAACTAGACCTCTGTGGAACATTTTCTTCAACGACGTTTCTCGTGCTCCGAAAATCAAGAACCTCAAATACAAAACTTCGGTTGGCTGGATATGGCTAAAACTTTAACATGTGAAAAAGCGTTAAGTTCGGCCGGGCCGAACTTTGGATACCCTCCACCATAGATATACTGACAGGTACTTGAAATGAAAATAAAGGGAAAATACCGGTTATATAAACCAGTATGGAAAGTAGTAAAGTCGGACTGGGTCGACTATATGATACCCTTCACCACTTTGGGCATATTATACATATGTTTCCTAAAAGACGTTGCCTTTTCGAAGGAGCATTGACATGAAATTGAACGAAATTATATATGGAAGCTATGCTATATCTATATCTATATCTGAACCGATTTCAAGGAAAGTTGCCAGAGATTAATTTATATTAATTTCAGTACGTTGTGTCAATCGGCCTAGCTAGGGGTCTTTAGTGCACCATTAAAATCGGACGAAAATATATATAGGAGGTGATTGTAAATCTGATCCGATTTTCACGAAACTTTGAACACATCATTCTAGACGTAATTCAGTACGCTGTACCCAAAATCGAAAGATATAGAGGCCTTTGGTGCAGCATTTACATAAAATGTGACGAAAATATATATGGGTGCTATATCTAAATCTGAACCGATTTTCATGAAACTTTGCACACATTATTCTAGACTTAATTTAGTACGCTATGCCAAAATTCGTGCAAATCAAAAGATTTGCAGCGACTTTGGCGCAGCATTTACATACAATCTGGTGAAACTATATATCGGAGCTATATCTAAATCTGAACCGATTGGCACGAAACTTATCACATGTCATTCTACACTTAATTCAGTTCGCTGTGCCAAAATTCGTACAAATCTAATGATTTTCAGGGACTTCGGTGCACCATTTACCTAAAATCGGGCGAAACTATATATGGGAGCTATATCTAAATCTGAACCGATTTTCCCGAAATTTAGCACTTATCTTTGTCGACTTAAGTCGGTGCGCTATGCCAAAATTCGTGTAAATCTAATGATTTTCAGGGACTTTGGTGCACCATTTACCTAAAATCGGGCGAAACTATATATGGGAGCTATATCTAAATCTGAACCGATTTTCCCGAAATTTAACACACATCATTGTCGACTTAATTCTGTACGCTATGCCAAAATTCGTGCAAATCTAATAATTTTCAGGGACTTTGGTGCACCATTTACCTAAAATCGAACGAAAATATATATGGGAGCTATATCTAAATCTGAACCGATTTTCTCCAATTTCAATAGGGTTCGTCTTTGGGCCAAACCAATGGGCTGTGCCAAATTTCATCCAATTCGGATCATAAATGCGACTTGTACTTTGCTCGCAAAAATACATGGACGGACAGATGGACGGACATGCATAGATCGACTCAGAAAGTGATTCTATGCATATTCTCAAAAGGAACCATAGGTCTATCTCGATTATTTTTGCCTGTTACAAACATATGCACAAATACATAATACCCAGTACCACAGTGTGGTGAAGGGTATAAAAACAATGTAAACTATAAAACAAATTTCAGAAATTTTTAATGGACAATTACCCTCTGCTTTATGTATACACTTTGACACGATCAAAATGGTTCTAGACCCCATGATTCTTTGGACCAAATTTGTTTCAGAAATTTTTGATTTCATCCGAACTTTGACCATCTTTTTATTTCTTCCAATATTAGTTCATGTTCGAAGATGGGGAATATCGGTCCACTCCTTCTGGTATCTCCGACACAGGGGCTAGGTCTAAATACGGGTTATAGTTCATGTATAGTTCATTATCGAACCTTACGTTCTAGTTTTTATCTCGATATCCTTCGAAGGTGATATGATTACAACAGAGTCTTAGAACCAAACCCAAAACGCGGAACAAATTGCATAACAATTTTAATATAAAAAAGGGGGTTATATAGGGACTACCCCAAAAAGGGGATGTATATTAATAATTTTTTATAGGGAAATTTGTTACCAGATACGACTACAAAATACCAAATTTCAGCGAATTCGGTTGAAAAACGTGCTCAAGAACCTCAAAATAGCGAAAATTAGGGGTACCCTTATATGGGGACTACCAGAAAAATTGGACTTATATTTAAAATTTACAGCGAATTCGGTTGAAAAACGCGTTTAAGAACCCCAAAATACCGACATTTGGGGGGTACCCTGATATGGGGGCTACCAGAAAAAGTGGACCTATATTTATAATTTTTTGTGGAGAAACTTAGTACCCAATAAGAACTCAAAGTACTAAATTACAGCCAATTCGGTTGAAAACTACGATCAAAACCCCCAAAATATTGAAAATTAGAGGGTACCGTTATATGGGGGCTACCAGAAAAAATGGACCTATATGTATAATTTTTTGTGGATAAATTGGGTACCCAATAACAACTCAATATACCAAATTTCAGCGAATTCGGTTGAAAAACGCGGTCAAGAACCCCAAAATACGGAAAATTGGTGGGTACCCTTATATGTGAGGTATGCCTAAACGTGGTCCCATCTTCGAACTTGACCTGCCTGCAGACAAAAGACGACTCTTAGACGCTAGAGTGATTACAACAGACGGACAGACAGGCGGACATGCTTAGATCATCTTAGAATTTTACGCTAATCAAGAATATATATACTTTTTAGGGTCGGAAATGATTATTTCGATGAGTTACAAACGGAAAAACAAAATTAATTTACCCTCCATACTATGATGGAGGGTAAAAAATGGCGAAAATGTGGCCGCACCTTTATATGAAGACTATGGCAAAACATAGACACATATAATTTTTTTTACAAATGGTTTTTACATCTAAGCACTCGAATATTTCATCATATTTCATATTTCAATGGTTTGGTTTCCTATTCTGTAATGATGTTACAAGAATATGTCTATCCGTCTACCTATCCATGTCTTATTTTGAATAAAGTACAGACAGTATTTGTGATCTGAATGAGATGGAATTTGGCATAGCTCATTTATTTGACCAAAGGAGGAACCCTTTAGATATAGCTCAGCAATTTTATGTAAAAGGACATCAAGGGTCCAATGCTTCTTAGACTACGAATTGAAATTATGTGTATATGTTCTGCACATCGAGCTGTGCAGTCGCATGCCAAATGGCAATAAAGACTTGCCGTTAATTGGTATTCCGTCATCACAAGGGTCTATACATATTAAAATTTTTCATCGAAGACGTTTAATACCCACCAAGAACACGTAATAACATATTACCTTCTATTTTCCAAAAAAAACAGGCACTTCGGCTTCGGGTAAGACCTTAAAAATACCAATTTATTAAAAAATATATGTGGAGGCTATATCTACATCTGAACCGATTTCAACAACAAAATATCGTGCAAATAAAACAGGATCTACGGTGCACCATTTACATCAAATGGAACTTAAGTATATATGAGAGCTATATTTAAATCTGAACCTATTTCAAACTTAACAAAGAGCATTCTAGACTTAGTTCCTTGTGAAAGCTATATGTAAATCTGAATCGATTTCAACAAAACTTCGCATACATCAATCAGGATCTACTTCAAAATACCGTAAATTGTGTGGGACCTTCATATGGGAGCTATACCAGAACGTGGGCCGATAATTCATTGGCAATAACAAACATCATAAAACAGTTTTACTTTACCTTATTGAAGAGGGTAAAAATTAAAAGAAAATAAAAATGTTCAATTATATTCATAAACCAGTGAGTGGAGCAGTGTATTCGGACGGGGCCGACCATACGCACACTACACAACTACCACGGTACTCTAACTTTCTGCGGATGTTTATTCCGAGCTTGGGCAATATTTCGTTATACTTACACCATCTTGCCCGATTAGACATATTTTTCGACTACTACTAATATTCATTACAGCCCTTCTAACTACTTGTCCAGATTTCCTTCAGAGTGGGTTGTGTTGTTATGTTCGGCTTATAATTAAAGCCTATAGAATATAAAATTTTCAATTATATTACATATGACAATATAATTGGTATCAATTATACGCCAAATAAATACAAATGTTGTAATTTTTCACACAAAAGTCAGGGATAAAAATCGGTGAATATTTAGCCGGTCAAGTGGCTAAATATTCACCGATTTTTATCTTTGTTCCAATCCGCTTCTCCATGTAAAATTTCGCGATGTTCGGGCCATAATTGTGGCCTTTGGAGCGACCAGAAAAACCGACAAAAATTAGCTATTTGGTGCATTACATTCCCTAAAAATTAACCG